GACCAACCGACACGAGCCCATATATTTATCACTTGGGAGGCTATTAAGGTTTGAATCGTGATGTTTTTATTTTATTTTATTTATTTATAATTATTATTTTGGCCCTACTTTTCATTTAATTTACATCTTTATTTATTTTTCCTAAGTATATATAAATGAGCAGACAAAGGTCCTTGTATTTTTTGTGAAAAAGCCTGCTATTATCATTGTCCCCTAAGACAGGCAATAAGATAAAATATGGCAGATAAATAATATTTAAAAAAAAAAATTGCAAATTAAAATTAGAACTTATACTAAAGTCTTAGATTTTCTGACAAAGTATGCATGCAAAACTCACAATTTATTATTAATAATATTATTTATAATTATTAGTTTCTGGTTCTAGGTTTTGGCTCTTAGGGCGATGCTGAAAGAACAAGTGGTGAATAAACAAGTTTCGACCGGGTACACGGAAGTTTCGGGAGAAGAAACAGTGGAGAGCACATCGATCCCGAATTCAGACAAGGCGCATGGGATAACAACGACGACGAGTATTAATAATGTTAATCAAATAATTATGGGAGAATCCAGCTATGCTTTGAACGTGGATGACTACACTTCAGTTATGATGACTCCATACAATTGGGCTTAATCTTGTCCTTAAGTTCAGTGTTGTGGAGGCTGCTTAATTTAATTTAATTTAATTTTCTGTTTATATCTTTAATTAGGGTTTTCTTTCCAAACTTAAGATGTTATGGTAACCCTAATTTTAATTTCTAGGTACTAGTTAACAAAGTTAAGTTAGTTTGCAAGAGAAGATTAAGATCTCTCTCTCTCTCTCTCTCTCTCTCTCTCTCTCTCTCTCTCTCTCTCTCTCTCGTGTTTGTTAGTTAATTAGATTGCTAAGTGAGGGTTTGTAGTGACTAATTAATATTTGCTTGATCAAGATCTAATATTTTATTATAAGAGACTCTATTTAGTTCACATTCTTATGGTCTTATGCTATTTTTATCATTATTTTCATGATTTTTTATTTTTATTTTTTTTAACAAATTAAAGGAATTTACCGCAACTGCAAATGTGTGATTTTCAAGAGAGAAGATGAATTAATTAATTAAATAGCTAGCTAGATTATCCAAAATCATGAATTATTGGTTCGATTATGGAGTAGTACGTTCTTGATTTAATTTGATTAAATAAGTGTGACCTGTGGTGTAGGATAATAACTATATCCCATTAATTAGTTTCATCACAAAATGACAACATTTATTAATGGGTAAATTGCAAAAACACCCATGATAAGAGCATATTCAATTAGAAAACGAATATTTAATTTTTTTGTCTTGCATATATTATATCCATCCATCAACACTTATATGCAACTATGAAAAACTCTTTTATATATACCAAAATTATCCCTAATTTCTTGAGACCCCAATTCACCATAATTTTCCGATTTAAATTTTAATTTAGCCTCAAATTCACTAATTAAATCAATTTTGACCCCAACGTAACCCAATTTTGACCGCCACGGCCGATCTCTAGCTTTAACCTTTTTTTTCCCCCTAACTGTTTGGCCGACGTAAAATAATATTACTGTTGACACAATAGTTAACAATTATACTACTGTATTGGATTGCAATATTACGGACAATAATATTGTTGTTAACACAGTAATATTATTGTCTTGGCCTACAATATTATTGTCTCAGACAATAATATTAACACAGTAATATTATTGTCATGGCCTGCAATATGACTGTCTCATACAATAATATTCTTATTAACACAATAATATTAATGTGTTGATATTAATATTACTGTCTTCGCCTGCAATATTACTGTTAGCACAATAGTTTTACAGTGTTGGTTATTCTAAAAAAATTGTAACAAAGATAAAAATATTTAATTTACTATGAACACATCAAAATAATTCAAAAAAGAAAAAAAAAGTTAACGCCGGGGACCACCGGTCAAAGGCGATTGCGGGAGAAAAAGTTTAGAAAAAGAAATTCAAAAAAAAAGTCAACGCCATTCAGCGGATGGGAAAAAAAAATTAGAGAAAAAAATATTTTCTAAAAAGAAAAATTCAAAAAATTATGGAAATGGAGATTGATATATTTGTTAAAATCTCGAGTCAACGTGCAATATTTGTTAAGTTGGACATTATTGATGAGATTGATTTAAATTATATTGTGAGGGGCATCTTGGGCCAAATACAAGGGGATGTGCTTATATCTAAAATTGATTTTGGTCTGGATAGAAGTGCAAATAAGTTCTCCTCTCTAGAGTTACAGTTAAACCTCTATAAATTCATACAGTTGGGACCATTAAAATTCCATTAATTTAGTAAAATATTAACTTATCGATAAACTAATAATTATTAATTTATGCATTAATTAATAACTTATTAATTTATGAAATTATTTTTATTATTATTTCAATAAATATATATTTTTTCAAAAACATTTACGTGTATATTACATAGTTCAACGCACTATAGAGGCCGTTTCACAAGCGAAAGCTTTTAAAGCAGCAATAGTAATGTGAAATTCATCAAGAAACAAACGAAAATTAAATTATATTTTATTAAGCCTTCATAGATCTATAAAATATGTATTGTACCATGTAATTTAAGAATTATTTTAATGTATCATTAATTTATATATTATATGGGGCTTCTTAAAAATTTTGAATGTGTATTATCTTATAAATTTAGCGAATTATTAATTTAGAATGTTGTTCCCCAGTCGTGAACAAGAAAATTTAATATTTAAACAATATTATTAATTTATCGCGTATTAATTTATCAAGGTTCTACTGTATATGCAATTCGTCATTTATTAATTAGCAACCAAAGTGAAGAAATACATGTAGGGTTGGAAAATAATTACCGCTCACCGAATACCACGGTATACCTACCGAACATTAACGAAACTTTGGTTACTACTATGTATTCGTACGGTATTGGTATCGTCCCATTATTTTGTTGTAGGATACCGGTATTTTATTTTCAATACCATGGTATATTGTACTGTACCGCAAATTTAGATTTTATAATTTAATTAATATATATTTTGTACATTCTTTAATAATTAATAAAAATTATAATTACTACATAAAATAAATAAGCCAAAACTTGAAAAGTTAAAATACAGTTCCTAAAAAAAAAAATTTGTGACAACATTGAAGCTTAGTGCAACAAATAAAAATGAACATCTCATTTGATTTTTACTGAAAATGTGGACTCCAAATTGAGATTGAAAATAAAATTCAGGACTCTAGTAATCTTATTTTGCAAGGTGCACCTAAATCAATAAAGTTGAAGTTTGATAAATATTGGGAAAGTTTTGAGAAATTGAATAAGATCATATACATAGCCAATGTTTTTGGTTAAAGTGTAGTTAGAATTTTTATTATTGTATTTTCATAAAGATCGTCTTATTATAATTTGTATCATTGAAAGTGTAACAAATTAAAATTAATGGTAGAGTACCACATACCGATACACCGTACCAAATAACGATATACCGCAATTATTGATAAGGTACATATCAAATTTTTAAATATCAAATGATTTCGGTAGGTATGGTGTATTGGTCAAAATATTTGACAATTGTATCGAAACACCCCTATAAACAAGTATTGGACAATTATCAACACGCAATTGCATTTCTCAAAGTTTTCTCATTTCAGGGGAGATCTGTTTGTGCTTGCGCTTGGGCACATAAGCTTCAATTTTATTTATTTATTTTTCTTAATTCTTTATACAATTATTTGATGTTTTAATTTGTAAAATATGTAAAATACATTTTATATATGGATATTTTTTTTTTAGTTTTGTTTGGCTTGAAGCCGACAATCATAGAGATTCTTTTATTTACTAAAAGTTGTCGGATAGATATTTATCATTTTATTAGGTATATAAATGTAGCCTTGTTTTCAGACTTAATTCCACTTTGCATCTTTGAAATATAGTTTTTCGACGCTTTGCAGCCCAAAAAAATTAATAGCAATTTGCATCTTCAAAACACAATAGATCATGAATAATGCACCTGAATAATTTTTTTAAGCAAAATAAATGTAATATAATATTTTTTCAGTAGTATTTTTTTATAATGAAAAATCTTAAATCAAAAATTTTATATTCATCAATACTTTTGAAACTAGAAAGTGCAAATATAAAACACAATAAGCCTTTCCATTGAAGCATTTCAAATCGGGCCGCTGTACGCGTGATAAGTTTCTCGAAAACATACGTCTTTTGAACGTGCGTAATGAAGAGGGGCGTAACCATCAGCCTCAACATAATAAGCCTGCCGAGCATATTTGCATGGCTTGTAATCTATGTAATAGATGTCTACCCATGCCGCCTCATGGGTGTGGTCCAGAAGGTGTTGTGTTTAATATCTGAGTATGGATTATTATGCTCTATATTGTTGTCCAAATTTTATTATTTGATGTTTGAGTTTTGTATTAAGCAATGTATTCACATACACGATAAACATTACGGTTCATGTTTTTGTCATGATGTCAACTGCTCAAATGGAGCTGATTTATACTGTCATTAATACTCTAAAGTCATGCCGCAGTTAATACCTTCAAGGATCACTTGAAGCAGAATTGTTGCCAAGAAAATGTTGAGGTTGCCCCAAGAGCAGAAGACAATTGGCGAGGACATATTAAATGTCATGGCAAAGAAAGTTATCAACATTTGATCTTCTCTAAGTTTATGTTTCGTTTCTCAGCTTTGGATTGACACAACTACTGTGAGTCACAATTCATACACCTCTACTATTTTTTGGAAATTTGACTTTAATTAATATGTTTTTATATGACAATGACACAAAATTACTTAAAAGAGTAAACGATAGTCTATGCTAATTAATGTAGCTTGAGTCGCAAGAAACTAATTGTTACAGTAATAATGTTCTGATTAGTTATGTTTAGAAAGAAACTATGAAACTTTTGCGTAATTCATTTGAATATTGAAAAATTGAGATGTCATTAATATATATATATCATGCATTTTGCTTAATCGGCAATAGTTGTTGGATCGTAAATTACTTATGGGCAAAATATTTATTATTTACAATTGTTATAGATCAACTATAACTGAGTTTGCCGTTTAGTACCATTACCAATGAAACTTGAGAAAAAATAAGTTTCAGTTACGGTAAGAAGAATCCAAGTGTTACGATGTATTATCTTATTTCTTAAAACTATGTTCAGAATTAAAATTTAAGAATATATATATATATATATATATATATATATATATATATATATATATATATATATATATATATATATATATATATATATATATATATATATATATATATATATATATATATATATATATATATATATATATATATATATATATATATATATATATATATATATATATATATATATATATATATATATATATATATATATATATATATATATATATATATATATATATATATATATATATATATAT